AGAGATTTATGCTATGTACTTGTGAATGCAGGTGAATAAATTAGAGGTCATTTCCCTCAAGGAACTTACAGTTCAGAGGAAAGGTAAATTTCAATAGTTAATTATATTGTAATAGATGTCTGTACTTAAACTTTGGACAAAGTGGAGTGGAGATATTCTCAGATTTGTTTGACCTTGGGACTATAATTGAAAATTATAATTAATGAATATTGATAAGAAGTCACTATAGTGTGGGAGAGTACTCTATAAAATTATAAAGTTCTCTGTGAAAGACAAGGTCAAGAGAACAAGACAGGCCACAAACTTGGAGAAAATATTTTCAAACTATTTTTTTCCAAATAAAAAGGATTGCTATCAAAAAATATACAAAGAACTCTTAAAATTTAACAATAAGAAAACAACCTGATTTAAAAATGGTTTAAACACAAGATGAAAATGCATATATTATGCAAAAAAGAAAAATTATGTAGAAAATACATAAAATAAAAAAATAATAAAAATAAAAAATACTACATCTTATCAGTGGGAAAAGGAAACACAATCATCAACATAGACACTGAAACCACAGGCACTAGTCAAATACAGCATGGTCACCCATATTATCTAGCATTAGGGTAATCAATATTTAGCAGTCATACTGGCACTCTTTGTGAGTGAAAGGGGAGTGATCAAAATAATTGTCAGTCATTAGTTTATGAACAACAGGCTTGAACATGAATATTCCAGGCAACTGGTATATAAGATCACCTTATTCAGGCTGTCCTTATATTGATTATTTCTAGATCAATATTGAAATAACATAAAGCAATTCAAAAATTCTTGTATAAGCTTGTTTCTTGCAGATAGTCCACATCTGGCAAACTGTATTATGAAGGTTATTTCAGCATTAAAAAGAAAATTTTATAAAAAAATGAGTTAAACATCTTAACTGAAATTTATCAAAGAAGATGCACATATGGCAAATAGGCATATATTAATAAAAAGATTCTCTACCTCGTTTGTTATCAGGGAAACAAAAAATCCAAACAACAATAGATATCACTACACAACTGATGAATAGCAAAATTTGGAACAATGATACTGGAAAGCTGGCAAGGAAATGGAGCTATAGGAACTCTTGTTCATTGCTGATTGGAAGACAATTCGGTGGTTTCTTATAAAACTAAATGTACTCAACATACAGTCTTGCTTGTTGGTATTTACTTAAAGGAGTTGAAAAGTTATGTCCATAAAAAACCTGTTCATGGATGTTTAAAGCAGCTTTATTCTTAATTGCCAAAACTTAGAAGCAATCAGTATGTCAGGAGGTGAATGAATAGTGTTATATCTATCTACAAATGTTAATCAGTGCTAAAAAGAAATGAACTAGCAAGGAGGAGTCTTAAAACCTACTGCTAAGTGAAAAAAATGTGAATAAAAAGGTAATATTGAAATGTTACATGGTGCATGATTTTCACTATATGACATTCTGGAAAGGGCAAAACTATGAAAAAAAGATCAGTGGTTGTCAAGTATTTGGGGTGTGAGGAGTGATGAATAGGTAGAATGCAGGATTTTTAGGCAATGAAAACATCCTGTTAGGATAATAATGGATACATGTCATTACATATTTGTCCAAACCCATTTGGGTAGTTTCATCAATTCTAGTAAATGTATGACTTATTAGCAGATTTTGAGAATGGGGAAAGTTATGCATGCATTCAGGGACAGTGGATATGTGGGAAGTCACCTTATTTCCCCCAGTTTTTCTGTGAACCCTAAACTGCTCTTAAAAAAAAGGGTTTTAGTAAAAACAATGTGAAAAAGGACAAAAAGCTCATAAATTACCTCTGCTTTAAGAAATGACAAAAAAAATTATAGGTTTAATACGTAATAAACATTGGGTAGCAAATGTTGTCAAATTATGACTTGATACCCAACATAGACCAGTTAGCCTCAAACAGAAAACATATCCTTCTTCTCTGTTTGGTTAATTGCTGCCAACATGAGCCTCCACATATTAAAATGTATATATATCAACTCAGTTCATGCAACTTTTAAAAGTCTTAAAATGGATGATGTCACAATCCAGAAGACTCCATACATATGATTAGTTTTGAAATTATTTCTCTACCTAAAGCATATTTTGGAGTAAAAAAAATGCCACAAACATAGATTAAGCATTTTTTGGGAACCCCTGTTAGCATCTCCTGTAATATGATGTTCTTTGTCTTGTGCACAGGAAAAGGTGTTGCAACTGAAAAATTCATATGAGCAAGAGTGTGGACATGAGTGTGTGAAACAACGCGGGGGGGTCAGGGAATAGAGACACATGGACAGCAGGGCAGGGACTTGATGCAAGTCAGGGGTGAGTTAGTGGGAGGAACTCAATGACTTTTCTGCCTTTGATTTCTAACATTATCTCAGTTTAAAAGTTCATCATGTTTTAGCTATTTACATTTTTCTACTTTTCTTAGAACTTGCCAAATTTCATTATCAGTGAGCCATCTGTACATGTGCCAAAGAGTCTTATCTTTAAAAAAAATGTTCATTTAAGGCTTACTATGTTCTAGACAATGTGCTAGACAGTTTACATGCAAAGCTCTGCTAAATTTCATGAACATTTTTTACAAAGGCAATATTATTAAACTACTTTAAAAGTTGAGAAAACGGAGACTAAATCTGCATGTGAATTCTACCTGTCTGACTCAAAGTTTATTTTACTCTAATAACCAGTTATTGTAATGAAATTTCCCTAAGTGCATTCCTCAGAGGATAAAGAATAAGAAGAAAACATTCTAGAATCATATCTGTGTGAAGACCAAAGTGCACACATCTCCTCTTAAAGACTAATATACACTTAGGATGGTAAAGACCTTGTGAAATTTTGAAATGAAGAAATCCATTTCATTTTATTGTATTTCACAATAAAATGTATTTAGTTGACTGTCAGAATCCTCTTCATCCTCCTCTTCTTTTTTTTGTAAAACAGTGAACATCTAGGACACACGTTAACTGTGTTAAACTGTATTGGGAGAATCTGTATTGTCAGAATGAAAGGTATTTAGAATTCAAGAAGTATATACCTTATTATATGTCCTCAAATAACATTTGTCAGAGTGAGGGTCAAAATTCATTAAATTGTGAAATCAATAATGAAGTAGAATCCTGACAAGTTTTGGGGGAGGAAAAAAAAAACCCAGAAACTAATAGGATAGGAAATATCCTATTTGTTGCATGTAATAAGTACTGGATCATGAATTTTTACTAGTTCACAAAGTAAAATACATTTTTTTTCTGTGATAGTGACCAAAAATGCCTGAAGCCACTGTTTTCATGAAAGTCACACAATTGCTTATTGTGCCAGGGGTTAAGGTGGTAACAAAAGTCTCAACTTTGCAAAATTAGCATTAAAAAACCCTCCTGTAATGCTATGGCTAAATATACTATTTGTGATTACTTAAAATCAGAGAAGTTTAGAGCTGATATATCGCAGGGGGAAAACCAAAATAGAGTTCAACTAGTCCAGATCAGGCAGCTGTTAACTGTACTTAAGACTCAGGTGTTCTAATTTGTAGTCTCTTGTCATCATAAGTTTTAGTTATAGAAAATGAGGATTATCTCTTTTTAACAAATAGGAAAACTAGGCAAAACGTTTAGCAAAGCACTCTTGTATAGTAAGTCAAACAGTAGGTTACAAAAAAGCTGAAGGCTTTAATTGAAAGAAAAAAGCAATTTACAGATTCTTCATCACTGGGTCCTATTTATATTTTATACCAGGAACTAATTAACCTAATACCCCAAGTTACTAGTCCAGGCCATTAGTTTTCTGGTTTCTCATTTGTACATGTAAGTGCTCCATATATATGATTTTGAGACTTAGAAGATTACACATCAGTGAACATGTATAACAATGCAACTTTAAATAATTAATGGAAATACAGGAAACCCTTCAAACTCACACCGTTTTTAAAAAAGGAACTATGATTTATGGAAACATCCCTTCACAAAGCAGATATGAGCTGCTAAGTATTTTATTTTAGGCAGGCCTCTGTAAAACTCCAGTTGAAGTCTCAAAGATTATTTAAGTGTGTACCTAATCACTCCTCTTTCATAGTCGGCTGGGGGTGGGGGGCCTAGAGGGGTGATAGAAAACGATCAGTGGAACTTGGAGATACTTCCTTTCTCACCACTGTTTTCTGGAAAGCGCCCAAAGGAATCTGCTCCAGGGAAGTGAGCCTGGGCTTGGATTCCAGAAACTCCTTCCTCGTCTCGGGTGCCCAGGTTGGTGTCATCTCTAAAGAAGCTCCATCCACACTGGGCAGAAATCATTTAATAACTTAATCTTGATGAAAGAAGAGACGCTAAGGCCTGTGCACTCTAGTAATAAACAGAAGCATCGGGGTGAGTTAACGAAGAGACATGGTACCTTTTCAAACTAATGTAAACGAATAAATCATCAACAACAGCTTAAAGCAGAGAAGGGGACAGACCGCCCCCACAAAATGCGGGAGCGCTCTGGCGTCTGGAGAGGAAATAATCGCGTCTTTAAGACCTTGAGGTTCCAAGGGTTCTCTCCAAAGAAACTTTGACGGCTGGGAGAACAGAGCAGCTTGGAGGAGGCGAATTTCCTAAAGCCCAGGACCGCCTGGGACCATCCCCCTTCCTATAATTAACTTCACGCTGGTCCCCACCGGTCCAGCCCGCGGTCCCCCTCAGCTCCCCTTCTGGCAGGGACGGAGAGGCTCCCGGGGTGCGGGTCTAGGCCGGACCCCACGAGCCCCCCGCGCCCTCCCAACCCCCTGACCCTGCCCGGGGCCGGCCGCCCAGCGAACCTCCCCTCTCTTCGCCGTCCTCCCGCGCGGGCCGCGCCCTCCTCGGCCGCCCGGGCTGGCTGGCGCAGGGGGCGCGCGCCCCGGCCGCGCGTGACGTGGGCGCTGTGGCGGGAGGGGCGGCCCGGGGGGCTCCCGCCGCCTTATTAGCGCCTCGCGGGTCGCCGGCAGCGAGCAGACCGCCACTCTGCGAGCAACAGGAGCCGGCGCGCGGCCCACTCCTCCCACCTTCTCCGCCTGCCTCCTCCTCCTCGCGCTCGGCTCCTCCCGCCCCCACCTCTGCTGAGCTGCAGAGTCGCCCTCTCGCAGCCTCTTTCTCTCGCTCGTCTGCTCGCTAATACTTCCCCCTGCTGCGCTCCAGGGGACCCAAGCATTCTCCGCGCTCACCGTAGGGACCCAAGGTGCTCCACGAGCCTAGGAAAAGCTGCTTGGGTCTGAGATAGTTGGAAGCCCCTCGCCCCTTCCCCCTCTCCCGGCGCAGCCCGTGCCCGGCAGCACCTTCTCGCTCCTGCACACTCTGTTGGGGAGGACGGGGTGAGAAGGTGAAGTGGGAAGATCTGCAGAGCAGAGGGGGCCAGGCTCGTAGCTCAGATTTCATTTTCATTGAAGCAAAGCACAGAAGATCAATTTTTTTTTATTCTGCATTTTTTTCCTTTTTAATTTTTTTTTTTTTTAAAGAAACTTATTTTGGTGGGGGGCTTGCTCTGGGCATTTGGTTTGCCCAGTAGTTGAACAGTGAACTCGACTCGTGATGGTTCTCCTGTCACTTTGGTTGATAGCAGCCGCTCTGGTAGAGGTTAGGACTTCAGCTGATGGACAAGTAAGTGGAAAATAATAACAATAAAAAAATGCAAACTCAACCTTTCTCCCCCAAAGTTCCTTCTCTTTTTCCCCTTCTCTTTCCTTCCCTCCCCTCTCTCCCTCCCCCGTTATCTTGTGCGCTCAGGATCGGGGTTTGGAGGGCTGGGCTGGGCGCAGCGTGCGGGGCTTTCTGGGGCCGGGGGTGGGGGGGACGCGGGGGGTGGAATTGCACGGGCGGCTGTGACTCCCCCTCGGGCGCCCAGACTTGTCACTCTCAGGGCTTCGAGACTTTGCGGCATTCGTCACAATTTCTAGTGACAAACTGCAGCCAATTCTCAATCCTCGCCGGGCCGTCTGGGTTTCCCCTTTGGGGAGGGCGGTCTGGGCGCTTGAATGAAGTTCTGGTGCCGGGTCCAGGAGCCCGGGGCTCTGGGCGCTGCAGCCCCGGTCGGGTGCGCGGGGTTTTCTCCTGCTCACTGACTCACAGCTTTTTCGGGCAGCCGGAGGCGGGGGTTTCAGGAAGTCCTTGGGCCGGACAGGGAGCGATCCAGTAGACACGTGTCCTTGGGAGGACCGCGGCCGGGCTGGGGTTTGACAGTTGGGGAGGGAGGTTGGGGACGTTTCCTGTCCCGCATTTTCCTGGCCAGAGGCTGGAGCCGCCGGCCGCTTCTCTCCCCTCCCCCTCTGCACAACTCCTCCTCTTTTTAAAGCTAAGTTGAGAGTAGCTCTGTTTCTTTTCGGCCCAGCCCCCACCCTTGAGAGAGATTCTAGGTGAAGCCCGATGCTCTCTGAAGAGTCCTTGAGAAGGCGCAGCCAGACGGGGCCGAGCCTTTTGTAGTAAATCACTTCAGCTCAGGGCCCGTGGGACTTCGGGTACACCCTTTCTCTATGAGTTTTTGTAGCTCCCCTGGTCAGCCTTGTCAGACCACACGGTAAAATGTGGAGAATTGCCTAGCTGATCCCTGACCTCAAATCAAATAAATCAGGCCCCCTTTTGGGTGTCTCGTCCAGGTATACATTCAGAGGCTTTCTTTTCTAATCCTGATTGAATATCTGGAGTTTTCAGAAGAGAAGGTTGAGTGTCAGTATTTATTTTTGCTGGCTTCCTAAACGTTACATTAAAATTAAAGCGGTGAAACAACTCCCTACCCCAAATAGTTTATTGAATTGGCTCAGCCTCCTGTCACAAGAACCTTCTACAAACCAAGGTGCAGCCTGAGGCAGGAATCCCATCCTTCAGCATCTCCTGATTAGCTAGCTCTGAAAAGCATTAACGGTAGAAATAAAACACACAAGGTGATAAGATGAAACCCAGTAACTGTTCTTTTTCTTACTTTTCCCCCTCCTTTCCAGGCTGGTAATGAAGAAATGGTGCAAATAGGTAAGCCTTGTTCTCAGATGTCACTCTTATCTTAGTGGAAAGTAGGGAATGAAGTCAGCTAAGGGAAATATTGTCTCTGAAATTTCTCCCATTGATGGTTAAGAAATGAATATGTAACCCAGGTACACTTCCATTCTTTATTCTTTTCTTTCTCTTTCTGGAGGAGGGTCCCACTTTCCTCAGGCTAAATTATAATGATACAAAAATTCTCCTGCAGTTGGACCTGTCACGCTTCAATTTATTTTTGTCTTTGGACAAGCGTCTGCTAGGTACTTGGAGGGTGATGTAGGACCTGGAAAAATGTAGGAAGGTAACTCAAAACAGTCTGTGCGCCATTGGGAGGAGCACATCTAATTGAAGTGAAGGCGAAGTGTGAAAATGCTACATAGAAAGGGAAAATGAAGTCCAGAGGATGAAAATTTTTTTCTTAAAACTTTTTCAGCTTTGGGTAAACCCTCTGATGGCTTCTAATCCATTTGCTTTCAAATTACCTAAAAATGTGCATGATTTGTTAGGCCTTGTGCAAACAACATCTAAAATTTCAGTTTTATCTGGTGGGTGTGGGTATTATTATTCCATTTTACAGGTGAGGAGACTGAGGCACAGAGAGAGTAAGTAACTTGTATCAGGTTACTCCAAAGTCCGTGGTCTTTTTGTGTATCTGTTTATAATAATATATTTGTTCTGAATCCAGAGACCAGAAGTCATGTGGCAAGAAGCCTGGTTCCATTCAAAGTCTTTTTATACATATTTAACTTGGGTTACTTTAAAAGATAATTTTTCTTTTTGGCTGAGTATTAGACTCTGTAAATACTGTTTTTGTCAAGTGATACTGTAAAGTCATCTTTTAGATGAAAAGTTCTTATTACTGTAAACATAGTTACAAGTCATTGCCCATTTGCTATGTTCCAGGCACTTGTGTTAACTGCTTTGTGTATGGTATGTCACCTAATTCTCACAACCACACTCCCAGATAGGGACCCCATTGTCCTATCTTAAGAAAACTAAGCTTTAGCAGTTGCACAGGTGCTTGCTCTAGTGCCCAGTGGAGAGCTGGGGCGATTTCATACTGTGGACTCATCAGGGAAGCCCAAGATTCAGGCCCAAGATTCAGGCTGACTGTGTATCAGCTTGTGCCAGGAGGCTCCCTTCCCATTCAGAACTTAGAACTGTCGGATCTCTTCCCGAAGCTTAGAACTCCATGGTAAGAGCAGGACAGAGGGGAGGAGGGTGACTGAGAACTACATTAAAACTACGTGTCTATGAAGAGACATTTGTCATTTGTAGTTGATAGCATTCATCTGTCTAGCTTCCTATCTCCCTATCTCCCTACCTGTCTATATACATACATACTTAATATATATACTATATATATGCATACTTTTGAAAGAAGAATGTTTTAACCAAACCAAGAAAACTGTCTTACTTTTTTATTAACTAAATGTTTGATTAAACACCACAACCTTTCAATATTAAAACTGAGTTCAAATTAAAAAGGTGTTAGGAGATTACTCTTTCTACTCTAGGAATAAAATGTATTACTTTGGTTACATTTTCAGATAGAGAATCAATATGTTCTCATTTAAAGGACCCACGGTCCAACTTTGGTCCAGGGTTTTGCTAATGTAAGTACTTTGGTAGCCCTTTTCTGTAGGGATGAAATTAGTACAGGTGTTTTTGAATTTGGTAGGTGGGAAGTGACTAGGCATATGACAGAAGGGAACGTGGCATTCTTAGGTTGTAGTGCTACAGATTTACTTGCTCCCAAGTTCTGCTTTATGGAGTTTTTCTCTTTGAATATTATCATTTTTATTTACCATTTTCGAGTTGATGGAAGAGAAGAAAAAGAGATAAAAATAGATTTGACTCATTAGTCTTGTGATGTAGAAAAATGTAGCCACCACTTGGTTTTGGGTTATAATCATTTATGTAGCTCTTGAGATGAATGAAAGTATGTTTTTAAAAAATTTTCTGTACAATAATGAGTTTTCTTTTTCCTGTGTTCTGCATAAAGGGATTCTTTACCTGGAGGTTTGGTAAAGCGCACTCCTCTACAAATAACTGATTTCTTCCAATACTTGATTTAAAAGTAGTTTATATAACTTCATGAAGATGATATTTGATCAGTGGTACAATAAGGAATGACTAATAAAGTCTGTACAATTCATTATTTACATTTATTGGTATTTGAATTGGTTGGTGAAAATACCATGGTTCCCAGTAATTTATTGTCTCATTAAGAGTTACATATAATTTAATGACAAAGCACAAGTAAAAATACTTTTATTGTAATAAAAGTATATAATATTGTAATATAATACTAATATTGTAATATAATATATTATTGTAATATAATACACATGCTGGATAGTATATATAAGTGCATATTTTGCTGATTCTTCAAATGAAACACTTCTGTGTGACTAGCACCTGGATCATTACATACAATATTGCCAGCACTGGTGCTACCTTCCAGCACTATCTCTGCATGCACTGTAAACACCCTTTTGACTTCTAATGGAGCAATTACTTTTTCCAGGGGTGTTTTTTATAAATAGAATTATACTATATATACTCTTTGGAATATGATCTAGAAAACCAATTTTTAAAAATGTATCTGATATATTCCTCTAGACTAGGAAAGTTAGTAGGGAGAAGGTAGTCTGTAGTCTGTGATGGGGGCATGTTGGCATATGTATAGATGTCTCATCTGTACAATGTGTCATACAGGATAGTGCTTCTTTTCTCTCCCCACCCAGTGGGAAAATACCCTCTTGGTATGTGGAAAAGTATGATTCACCCTAGATAACATAGGCAAATAGGGATTGAACCCAGACCTAGTTCTCAGTTCCTTTGTCACCCAAAGTGGAATTTACCCACCTGTCTCCATCCATCCACCCATCCCGGCATACATGCACACATACATGTGGTACATGTGTGAATGTGTAAACAATGTGTATACTTGTGTGTACGTGTGTTTCATGAAGTCATTAACATACTTTTGTAGCATGTCAGGGAGTTCTTTCATTTCTGACTTAGAGCATGACCTTGGGAGGATGCCTAGCATAATTGTGGGCATTTGTGGCTGACTGGTTGATTGGGTAAGGAGGCTTGCTACGTGACACATGTGGCTTAGGAAATAATCATAGTTCTGTACAAATTGTAGAACAGAAAAAGAATTCTCTGAGTCCCTTTGATTCATAAGCCACCACTTTAGCTTGCCTGCATATCATTAGAAGAAAAACCATTGTGAGAGTTTGGTGTTAAGCTGTCTTCCTTTCTGGGAACTGGGGTATAGTCATCTTACTATTCCCTATTTCTGTTTCCCAATTTCAAATTATTTTACATTCATTCTTAGCAAAATAAAGTTGCTCATCTTGTCCACAAAAATATCCAATTTACTGAAAAATGATTTTCCATCATTTGTAGATATTTATTTGGTTTTCAATGTTTAGTACACTTTATCTAGTACTTGGCATATATAAGCATTTCCACTAGTGTACATCTCAGGAAAACAAAGACTTTGTCTTCATGACTGCCGTATCCCCAGTACATAAAACAAGGCTTGGTACTTTGTGGCTCCTCAATTATTTGTTATTCAATGAATTGATCTAGCAAGCAATGTATTATCATACTGGGATTTACTGTGTTCTGAATTGCCTTAAATGCTCTTGGTCAGTAACCTTCTACAGGTTTAATTGGTCACCAAGAAAATGAGGATGGTGGCAATGGTGAAACCAGTTATTCAGTGTAAGCAAGCTTTCTTGTGATTTCTCTTTTCACCCTCCAGAGTCCTCAGAGAAGTAGGTCTGTTGGTTTATATATATATAATTATGTGCAGTTTTAGAATATTTACTAATTTTGCACTCAAGTTTACTTTGGATCATTTGTTTTGTTGCATCAGGACAAAGATAAGATAAACATCCATCTATTTAGTTTGATAGCCATTATAAAAAGTGTGGTTTAAAGATTTCAAAGTTTCCTTTGTGAAATTTAGAATTTAAGTTGCCCACGCTTCCTTGTAACTAAGATTATGCACTTGACTGATTTAGCATCCACCCCTCCACTGAGCATGTGTTAAGTGCTTTGATCTTATATGAGATGTTATTAAGTGCAGCATGTTATCTATCACCTGCAACTTTTTATTGCTGTTTGGCTGAAATATTTCTTTCATATAACTTCACTTGTCATTATACCAAATAATCATAATATTGCTCAAAAATGTTAAGAAATTCCCAAGATCACCTCCACTTCCAGTGTGATTATCTCTAAGTATTCATATTACCTTGGAAGTCAATTGGGGACAATTTCAAATTGGTAAAATCATGAGTAATTTCAAGATGGAGAATTTGGTTATATTACTTGGACTGAAAGTTGACATTGGTGACCTACGTGGGATGCTTATGCTCCTACCAAGAGGTCTGCTATTCTCAGAATTTGGGAATCTCTCTACTGTTCCTCAAATAGAGATCAGCTTTTACTCCCAAACTGTGCTACTTCCATTACTATAAATTGCTAATATTTTTAATTAGTTTTCTTTCTGGTTATAAATGTTTTACATATGCCCATTATAGTAATTTCCCTTAATTTTTCTGTTTTCCCAGATTTTTTGCCATCATCCTAAATACCCAACTGTTGTTATAATTCAGCATATTCATATTCAGTCTCCTTTCAATATACAGATTGTATGTGTCTGTTTTTGTTTCATTTTGCTGTTTTAGTATAACTGTACATTTCATTTCAAACTCCTTATAAATGCTATTTTAATCCCATCATACTAATAAACCTTAATTTATACAATCATTTTCCTGATGATACTCATTTGCTCATGCTAATGAATGTTGCCACACCATGTTGTCTCTAGATCATACCCTGCTTTTCAAATGACTACTTTAGGATATAGCCTTGGAAGTTGATTACTTAGTAAAAAACTAATTAATATGATACATTTTGACAAATACCTCTTGAAAAAGTTATCATGACTCAAGTTCCTATTAGCA